CCACTATTTCCTAACCAACGTTTATTTGTTGAACGAATCGTTTGTTTGTCGTTTCTCAAATGTTTACACGTTTCAGCCTCAAAAAATTTTTCCAATTCACATACAATTTCAATTTTAAAAAATAAACTAAAAATTAATTTTGACTATAAATAAATAATTTTAAAAAATTTTAATAATTTATAAAATAAAACAAAAAATTGTATTCTTTAATTTTCACTAATATGAAGGAAATAAAATATTTTGAAATAAATTAATGATATACATAAAAGGAAGAGTACTTTGAATATGTCACATAGGAATGTTGGTGGAAAAAATGGCGCACTCTCTCAGATTCAAAGAAAGAAAGAAAGAAAGAAAAAAAAAATTGAGAAATCTCGAGGCAGTAGCAACACAGTAGTTCACATAGGTAACTGGTGTCCCAGGGGGCGTTGAATAATTCACCATAGCTGAGACCCGGGGGTGGCTGAGAGGCGGCTGAGGTGGGTTAGGACTGGCGTTGAAGGACCGATCAAATATTCACATGTCCCTCAACGCGAATAGAGCCCAACCAAGTCAAGTCTGTGTCAAACCTTACCTCTTGCATTCAACTCAAAAATATTCAAGGTTTTTTTTTTCTTTTTTTACTAAGTACATATTATTATGTTATAAACCAAAAATTATATTTTCTCATTTTATAATATTGTAATGATAAAATTAGTGTTGGATTAGCTCGCTGGATCAGGGTTCGTTTTTAAGCAACGGTATTACATTAAAATTACAGACACAATTCGAAAAATAACGTTTATTAACAAAAAAAGAACATAACCTAAAAATTACATATTAAATAATATACTACGCGATTACAATAAAATGTACGACATAAAACGATTTTACAAATGAGAATATACGACGAGAACAATTTAAATACAAAACGATAAAAAAAACAGATTACATTACTCTACGTTACGTTACGTTCCCTACGTCGGAGGAACGGAAGCGAGTCTGCCGATTTCCTGGCTAGGACGCTTGCGAGAGAGAGCTCGACGATACTGCTCGCGCGGCGCGATCGGGTACTACAATTTACTTTACGGTCGGTAACTTTTTTTATCGACATGGGGTAACTATTTTTATCGACGGAGGACAAATATTTGTATTAAATATTTACCCGCGAATTTTCAAACAATCTTTACAAATATAAAAACCAATTATTTATCGGGCATAAATTAATGATTTTCTCTTCTATGATAAATTTCATTATCCTCTTAAAAGAAGAATTATTTTCAAATTCGATTTCTAAGAATTTTTATTTAATATTGATAGTGAAAAAAGAAGATTGAATTTTGAACTAAACTAATTTTTGATTAATAAAAAATAATTATATATAATTAACTTTTGAAGTTGTAATATATTTTGAAGAAATGTTTTTTTTATAAATTATATATATACTTTAAAACTATATTTTGTTACATCTGTCTTTGACAGTGTTAATCAAGTCGAATGTTCTTGACATATTTGCAATTAATTTATTTTTCCAACCAGTGAAGCGTTAATTGTTAAACTTAGATGGGCGGTCGTCGGCAGAAGAGAAAGAGATCGACATTGAGTGTGAGGAAAAGAGAAAGAGAGATTGAGAGAGAGAGTGAGAGAGTGAGAAAATAAAGGGAAGTCAGAGAAGACAAGGGGTGGTTTTCAAGTTAGCGGGGGAATAGATAGAGTGAACATTAGAACAAGAGAAGAAGAATTTTATAAGGGAATTGAGGTGTAGGAAGCCAAGGAGCGTCGACGAGGCGATATTGAATTACCAGAGTAATTAGAATGGTGATTACAAGAGGTGCACGCCTCGTTGACCAATAATTCTTTTTCAACCCCTTTTGCAATCATTCATTATGTAAAAGTTGCCGAATATAGACACCTATTTTACAAAATTCATTCTTATAAAGTTTCTTTTTTTTTTTTAATTTTTTTTTTTCAATTTTAATATATTTTCTTTTCCTTCTTTTCTTTTTTGAAGAATATTTCAAAGATTTATTAGAATGAATAAGGGTGTTATATAATTTTATTGAATCTGGTTTTATCATGATATAAGAACTTTTTTGGACCTTTGTAATGGAATCTGTAGAACCAAAGTAGTTGGTGTTCTACGAATAAGTTTTCCAGTGAGACCATTAGGATATTCCGATGGGATATATCTTTATGCGCACAAACTGATGGGTCTATGGGATTGGTCGTTTCAAACCATTCCCCATGGTACACTTGACCGGAAATATCCAAGCGGCTATAAAAAAGAAAAACTTATACACGTTATCGCGATTGTTCGATTCTGTCTATGCATAAATGCGTTTTCACTTTATCAAGATATTTATAATTTGAAAAAAAACAAATGAAAAAATACTTTAATATAAATAGCTTTATCGATGTGCGATATTTGTATTTTTTAAATTTTACCATCTGTATTGTAAAATTTACTATACTGTACTATTTAACATATGTATTGGAAATTTTACTATACTGAAACTGAACTATTTACCATCTGTATTGGAAATTTTACTACACTAAAACTGAACTATTTACAATCTGTATTGGAAAATTTACTATACTGAACAAATTTATCATCTGTATTGGAAAATTTATTATACTGAACAATTTATCATCTGTATTGGAAAATTTATTATACTGAACAATTTATCATCTGTATTGGAAAATTTATTATACTGAACAATTTATCATCTGTATTGGAAAATTTACTATACTGAAACTGAACTATTTACCATCTGTATTGGAAAATTTACTATACTGAACTATTTATCATCTGTATTGGAAAATTTACTATACTGAAACTGAACTATATACCATCTGTATTAAAAAATTTACTATACTGAAACTGAACTATTTACCATCTGTATTGGAAAATTTACTATACTGAACTATTTATCATCTGTACTGGAAAATTTACTATACTGAACAATGAATTATATACCATCTGTATTGAAAAATTTACTATACTGAAACTGAACTATTTACCATCTGTATTGGAAAATTTACTATCTGTATTATGTTTACAATTGGTATTGTAAAATTTACTTTCCGTATAATATTGTAATATTAAAAAATTGTATTGTAAAATTTACAATCTGTATTGTTATATATACTATTACTATTGTAAAATATATAATCTGTATTGTAAAATTCACTATCTGTATTGTAAAATATATTATCAGTGTTGTAATGTTTACAATCTGTATTGTAAAATTAACCATCTTGATTCTAATATTTTTGTTTTTTTATTGACAAACTAAAAACTGAGTACAAAGTGTCAATTTTTTGTTTTGTACTCAAATGAATTTGATACGTATTTCGCAACATCGATCTAAATATTAATTACAAATTAGAATTATAGAATGACAATAGATTGTCGTTTTAAATAAGTTATGCAAGAAGAGGAAGAAGGTTGGGTGGGGGGGGGGGGTGGTTTTCCGTGAATTTTGAGGGTTGAGAAAAAGAAGCTTTGAGATTGTGGTGTCTTTTGTGACAGTGCCTCGATTCTCGAGAGGCTTGTGGGACGAGCTTTTGTTCCGGTTGTCAAGGCTGTCGTCGCAACAAGGGGCTGTTTGTCATACGTCGATAGGCGTCAGAATTGACATACTCGCTGGGTGTGAAACGGAAGCGTCACCAGGAATGACAAGGGCGAGAAATCGTGTATATATATATATATATGTATGAGTGAGAGAGACAGAGAAAGGTACAAGAGATAAATATTTGAGGAATTTGTCGTCTTCTACGCGACTAGAAATAGGCATATAACCAATGACGTGTTTGACAGAATGATAAAGGGGATTTTAGTCAATTTGCATACTACAGTTGTTCTTTTATCCGCGATGTAGATAAAGAAAGAATGAAAAAGAAATTTCTTCACGATATATATATATATATATATAAATAATAATAAATAAATAAATTTTCTATTAATAAAAATAAATTATAGATTAAAAAAAAAAGTTAATTTTTTTTTAAATATGTTGATAATTTTACTATAGATGACAATTATAGATTATTGTAAGAAATTATTGAGTTTGATATATTTTACTGTGTCCAGTGTAAAAAATTATACACGATATTTTTATCAAAAAGAAGAGACAATTTTTCATTATAAGTATTATAGATTTGCGCAAATACGATGTATTTTCTTGTAAATGTATGCGCGTGTAAAATATACGTATACCGAAGAGCATTCACAGATTTAACCCGAGTAATACCAGTCAGAAAAGTTCATTAATGGATTAAGAGTGCTCGATCGATGCGATTAGCATACAATTCCGCTTAGTTTTCACTTTTAGATATTATGCAAATTTTAGCTCCACAAAAATATTGTTAAGAAAATCAAATTGTAAAAAATTGTATTATTATTATTATCATTATTTTATATAAATTTAGAAAAGCAAAAAAAGAGAGAAATTTTTTTTTTTTATGAAAAAATAGTTTAGAAGAATAAAAAAAAAACTTTTTTGATGTAATATTGATCGTGGGATTGATATGAGTAGCAGCATGTTGCCGAACCCTTGGTCTTCACGTATGGGGTTTGAATTTTAAAACTGGCCCCAGGAGAGTATGTCTCACAAAATCAGGCTTCTACGCGGTTCTGTTCTTGCATAAGAAGATACAAGCCCCAGGGGACAATGTTTCCAAACCTCTTTTACAGTTAGAAAATAAGCAATTGATGTGTTTTATATTTATATAGAGTCTTTTTATTTACTTATCTACTATTTTTAAAACTCTTGCCAACAAAAAAGATACTTTATTTCCTATTATTAAATTTTTTATTACATTTTTCTTTAAATTAAAAAGAATTAAATTTTTTTAATGTAATAAATTTTTTTTATACTTAATTATATGTTTACTTTCAATAATAAATTCTTTTCACGAATATGTAACAAAACTACATTCTCTCATTTATATCTTATCAAATTTTGATTACAAAAGATATTTAATTTTTTTTTTCGCTTCAGTAATCATTAGTATCACAATGAATTCAATACATATTTAAAAATTTCTTTTTGCACTTTTTTTTTTGTTTTAATCAAATCATTTAAAAATGGAAAAATAGTGAAATATATGAATGAAAGATGAAAATTTTTGTGCCTATTTCACAAAAACGAAAAAGTCTTTTGATCCAAATTGCAATTACTATTTGTGGTATGTTTTTTTCATTTATAAAAATTTTTGTATTTTTTATAAATTGTAGTATTTATAATTATTACAAACAGTATGGTAGTATTTACGATCTGTATTGTAAAATGTACTATCAGTATTGTAATATTTACAATCTTTTTTGTAGCATAGAAATTGAAATATTTCATTTTAACAGTTTCGTTTACGTCAATTGGTTGTGGTACAAGTCTTTCATGGACATCGCCCGCATTACCATATTTAAAAACAAATAATTCCAAAATTCCAATATCAGAATTCGAAGGATCATGGATAGCATCAACTTTAGATATTGGCGGTGTTATTGGAAATTTAATAAATCCACTTTTTTCCCCATTTATGGGACGTAAATATTGTCTAGCAATATCAACTTTATTTCAAATAATTTCATGGCTAATGATTATTTTTGCATATAATGTGAAAATTTTATATGCATCACGATTTATTAATGGTTTGGCAAATTCGATAGCAATAAATTTTGCCATGATGTATATTGGTGAAATTGCAGAAAAAAATATAAGAGGAATATTACTTTTAATATTGAGAATAAGCTTACAGAGTGGTAGCTTAATTGTCCTTATATTTGGGGCATATCTTCCTTATAATATAATGAATTTATCAGTCCTTTTAATGCCACTTTTATATATAATTACATTTGCCTTTATTCCTGAGAGTCCATATTATCTATTATTACACGATAAAATGAAAGAGGCACAAAATTCTTTAATTCAATTAAATGGAACAAATAATTGTGAAATTATTGACAATGAAATTTATCGAATTAATTCAATGGTTAAAAATGCAAAAGAAACTAAAACATTGGCATTGTGGGATTTATTTTATTTAAAAGGCAATAGAAAAGGATTTTTTCTTTTAATTTTATTGCATTCAACAAAAACATTGTCGGGAAGATATGCAATTGCTGCTTATACACAAGAAATATTTAGTTATAGTGGATTTTCATTGGCACCTGAATTATCAGCGATATTATATACAATTGTTACATTATTAATGTTATTGATTGTATCACAATTTATTGAACGTATTGGAAGAAGAAAAATTGTTCTTTATTCGTCAATATTCTCTTCAATTGGCTTAATAATTGTGGGATTATTTTTTTTTATTAAATTTTCACTTAATTTTGATGTAAATTCAATAACATGGTTACCATTGTTTGGTTTAATATTTTATAATATTGCCTCAACATTGGGAGTTGGTTCATTAACATATGTTATAACAGGTGAAATTTTTTCACTTTATATTAAAGTAACAGCTATTACATGCTCGGCAATTATTGCCGATATTATGATATTTTTTGTTAAACTCTCATTTCAATGGATGAATAATATAATTGGTATTTATACAACATTTTGGATTTATTCCATTTGTTGTTTTAGTGGTGGAATTATATTTTTTATATTTTCACCTGAAACTAAAGGTAAAACATTAGAAGAAATTCAAGATATTTTACATTTATCGAATAAAAAAAATATTGATAAAAATTCAAATTCATTTGTTTGGACAAAATTATGAGAAATAAAAAATTTTCTTGATTGCTTTTTAAAAAAAAAAAATTGGCGTTATCATATCTTATCTTAATTATGTAAGATGGAGAATTTAGTATTTCTTATGTTTGAACTTTGAATTAAGTGTTTTTTTTTTATTATTAAAAAAATACCAACAATACAAAAAATATAATGAAGTATAAATATTTATTCTGTTAATATTTTCCATGATTTTACAATTTTCATTGTTTTAAAATATATATTGTAATCTTGGTTTATTTTTGCAAATATTGTTATCAATTTGAAGAAGAAGAAAATGACGTTGAACTTTTGATAACGAATTTTTTTTTATATATAAGGATAATTTTATTTGTTTTTTTTTTTTTTAATATTGAATCTCAAATAGAGTCTGAATTTTCCTGTTTAATGGTTTCATTGATACGAAATTAAGATTTTTAATATTAGCATAAAACTTTTGGAAATTTGATCATTTTGAAAATTTTAATTACCATAGCAACCGTTTCAATGACAACAGTTAACGTGTCAATTATTACCTTGACAACCGTTACCATAGCATCCGTTTCCATGACAACAGTTAACGTGTCAATTATTACCATGACAACCGTTACCATAGCAACCGTTTCCATGGCAATTATTACCATGACAACCGTTTCCATAGCAACCGTTTCCATAGCAACCGTTTCCATGACAACTGTTTCCATAGCAACTGTTTCCATGACAACCGTTTACATAACAACCGTTACCATAGCAACCGTTTCCATGACAACAGTTAACGTGGCAATTATTACCATGACAACCGTTACCATAGCATCCGTTTCCATGACAACAGTTAACGTGGCAATTATTACCATGACAACCGTTACCATAGCAACCGTTTCCATGGCAATTATTATCATGACAACCGTTACCATAGCAACCGTTTCCATGGCAATTATTACCATGACAACCGTTTCCATAGCAACCGTTTCCATGACAACAGTTAACGTGGCAATTATTACCATGACAACCGTTTCCATAGCAACCGTTTTCATGACAACCGTTTCCATAGCAACTGTTTCCATGACAACCGTTTCCATGACAACAGTTAACGTGGCAATTATTACCATGACAACCGTTTCCATGACAACTGTTTCCATAGCAACTGTTTCCATGACAACCGTTTACATGGCAACCATTACCATGACAACCGTTACCATAGCAACCGTTTCCATGACAACAGTTAACGTGGCAATTATTACCATGACAACCGTTTCCATAGCAACCGTTTCCATAGCAACTGTTTCCATGACAACCGTTTACATGACAACCTTTACCATAGCAACCGTTTCCATGACAACAGTTAACGTGGCAATTATTACCATGACAACAGTTAACATGGCAATTATTACCATGACAACCGTTTCCATGACAACCGTCGCTAAGGATTTTTTTTTTACTTAGCATTATCTTTCTTCAGCAATGGTTGCTAAGGATTTTTTCCTTAGCAACGGTAATATAGCTTCTCTAATATTTTTGTCACTGATTGTAAGACATCTCTAATGAGATAGAAGAAAATGAATATTAAGAAAATTTTGTATGTCACTTTTGAATATCTGATTCTATCAACATGCATGCTGCGAAACATAAGGGGGTTTTTAGATTGAAAAGCTTTATAGCGAGTGAAGAAGGTTGAAGGTAAAAGGAAGGAAGGAAGGAAGCAAGTAAGGTGGTAAGACGCACACGGTAGGGTGTCGGTTGGTCGGAGGTTGCCCGGAGGAGGTCGACCCGCTGTCGCGGCTCTAATAAGCTACCCAACCTCGTTCTCTCCACCTTTACTTCCCCCCAACTCCCTCTTACATCCCTTTATAGGAGCATAGAGAGAGAGAGAGAGAAGCGAGCTTGCAATTTGATAAACTGTCACGAGCGTTCACCCGCACACTCTTGCACTTAATACCGCCTGGCACATACAACCTTCAAGGAAACACTCCTCTCTCTCTCTCTCTTTCACCTAACGTGTGTGCAAGAGTGGGTTACAGATTTCCTACGTCATGAAATTTCAATCGAACGTCCCCTAATAAATTTATCGTTGCATTTAACACTCCACGTTTATGGAATATATTTCCCATCCTGAGATAATTAGAAAAAAATCTTTTATGCTCACGTTCAGATTCTTTTAATTTTAATATTTTAGTTTCTCACCTTACATTCCAAATAATAAATAATTAATTAATATAATTAATCAAATTGTATAATAAATTGTACAAAAAAATTTTACAATTAAAAGTATATTGAGACAATGAAGTGTATAAACGAAGAGAACAAGTTTAAAGAGAAAATAAATGTCAATCTATTTGGTACCGTTTTATTATTTTTTTTTTTTTTTGCACACGGAATAAAGAATGATTTGAAATAGGAAGTATAACAGGATTTTACCGAGTGAAGTTGCCTGGTCCGAGGGATCTCGACCCCGCGACCCCATTTCCATGCAAATAGAGGAAGACCCCATAACTCGTGGACGTAAAATCTCGGAAAAAATTGCAGCATTAGTAGTTAGTTCCACGCGGAAGGCGACGGTTGATGAACTCAACAGCGATTACATTAGGTATGGAGATGGGCATTTTATCTTTAAGGACACACTAGAGAATATGATATAGTGTCTTAAAATTACGACGACATTCAATATATTTTAATTTATATATAAAAGGTTGTATTTTAAATGAAATAAAATGATATTTTTTTTTTATTAAGATTATTTTATTTCCATTTCTCAGTATTCAATTTGTTTATTTATTTTTTAATTTATGTTATAAAATAAAATGGAAAATTAACCTCAAATTACGTAACATCAAGGGACACTTTATATTCTAATTATATTTCAATATAATTAATATTTGATTAATTTAAAATAGTTCATTATATATAAAAACAAAGGAATTTTTTGAGTATAAAAAATTTTTGAAGTAAATGTAATGTGAATAGTGGTCAGGGGCGAAAAGGACGAGGTTATCGAAACCATGACCAGCTGTGTCACGATCCTGAGAATCTAGAACCCTCCTAAGTCCCTAGGGAAATGATACCACTTTGCAAGGGCAGAATGGAAATGACCCCAGAATCGCCTCCAACCTGACTCTCTCTCTCTCCCTCTCTCTTGGGTCGTTCTTGGTCAACGACGATGACGACCACCAGGTTCGGGATAACAAGACCATTTCGATCACAATCAATTGATGCTGATTTGACAACCCTATAAAAGTATTTCGAATTTATTCTCAAACAATTACCAGGAGATAAATTAAATTATTTTCCAGGAAAGATTTTTCATTAAATGATACTAAAAAATATTAAGCAAATATTTTGTCCAACTGAAATTGAAATAAAAAAAAAATTTAAGAAATTAGAATTAAAAACAAGAAACATTTTTCATATTGTCAATTTATATCCTGTCTGACAAAAATGGACTTTTACTACTGGTACAAAAAATAAATGTTGTGAAATATTTTTTCTAACTGAAAGTAAGAAAGTAACTACAATTTTTGAGATTTTCGATTGTCTGACTAAAAAGTTACTTGTACTACTCTGAAGGATTTAAAAAAGCTCTACGTCTGACTAAAACTGACTTTTACTACTTCTATACACAAATTACGAGGATTTTAATCTTTTTTTGCCTGGCAAACTATATCTATATACATTAATTACAAGAAAATTTACGTCTGACTTAAACTGACTTTTACTACTGATATCACAATTTTTAAGATTTTGGTACAACTAAGAATCAATTAATGAATAAAAAACATTTCGTCTGACTAAAACTGACTTTTACTACTGACAGGAAATTTTTTAAATTATTCGATTGTCTGACTAAAACTGACTTTACTACTTCTATTTACAAATTACGAGAATTTTAATCTTTTTGTGTCTGACTTAAACTGTCGTTTACTACTTTTACATTTTAAGGGTACGAACTTAATTTTTTGTCGGACTTATATATTTTTTTTACTTCTTTTCCAGTTGTTAGAGAAATTTTTAAAATTTCAAAATAACTAGGATTTAGTCTGACTGAAACTGACTTTTACTACTGACAGAAAAAAATTAAAATTAGTAGACTGTCTGACTAACACTGACTTTTACTACTTCTATACACAAATTACAAGAATTTTAATCTATTTTTTGTCTGACTTAAACTGTCTTTTACTACTTCTACTTTTTAAGGTCACACTATATTTTTTGTCAGACTTAAACATTCTTTTACTTCTACAATTGTTATAAAAAATAAAAAATTTCAATATCAATTTTTTGAATAATAAAAAGCATTTCGTCTGACTGCAACTAACTTTTACTACTGACAGAAAAATTTCAAAAAAATTTGTATTGTCTGACTAAAACACACTTTTACTACTATTATTAAACATTAATTATTTTGTCTTCTTGTAACTGAAGTTTACTACTAAAAATTTTAATTTTTCGTCTGATTAAAACCGCCATTTACTACTTATATACAGAAAGTCAAAAAAAATTTAACATATTTATAAACATAATAATATTAAAATTTATTTTACATAAAATCCACAATTTCACGTGCCTAAAAAATTTAATAAAATAAATTATATTCAACCTGATTTAAAAAATATTTAGCATATCTCTCTCTTTTTCTGGGGATTAAAGTTAATTCAACAGAGAAGAATCAGAATCAAGTAAAGTCACTGAAGCTACTTTAAAACCAGCCTTAAAATAGTTTTGCAAAATTACTGTTAGTAAATCCTCTAGCTTTCTTCGTGAAGTGAAGAGGGTTTTAAAAGGGGCGATGAGAGGAAAGGGGTTGGGGGGTGGGTGGCACTTCCCCTTGCATCGTCACCCCATTTGCCAGCTTTGCTTCTCTCGTTTGTTTCGTAATCTTTAAGATCGAAAGGGTTTGGGGGAATTCGTGCGGAGAGTGAATCTTCACAAGTTGGTAAATATATTGTCCTTGAAAATTGTTTATTTTATTATTTTCCCCAAAATATTGGATAGTAAAATTTTTTTTTTTTATTAAATAAGAAAAAATTATCAATATTAATGAAAAATATTCTTTTTTAAAAATTTAAATCAATGTTTAATTAGGGGGAGTTTTTTTAAGTTAAATTCAAATACATTGGTCGATTGATTTACAGGCATTTTGCACAGCGACGAAAATGCCTTTTAGTATGCCGACATTTTCAAAAGAGGGGGAAGAATAAACGAGTAGTGATTAAATATTATGACCGTCGTAGTCTTAGACAGAATATATATATATATATATACGAGTTGCCTTCCAAAGACGTTACTTAGCATAATTAAAGGACCTGAAATTCTGCGGGCAGGACAAGAACTATGGTTCTGGTTTTGGTTTCTCACTAATGAAATACATATCTAATTCACTGACTTGTTTATTTTTGGAAAAAGGGTTAAGGATATATTTTAGTAATACTTTAATTAATTTTTTATGAAATATTTCTTTTCGAAAACTAATTTTACTAAAAATTGTTTTTGGTACTCTCACTTACACTTTCACTGAAATTATTTTTTCTATATTTTCACTTTCACTTTCACTTTCACTTTCACTTTCACTTTCACTTTCACTTTCACTTTCACTTTCACTTTCACTTTCACTTTCACTTTCACTTTCACTTTCACTTTCACTTTCACTTTCACTTTCACTTTCACTTTCACTTTCACATCCACTTTCACTTACACTTACACTTTCAAAAAAATGTAAGTAATAAATGAAAATAAATAATTTGAGAAGAAAATGAAAGTGTAAATGACAGTGAAAGTGTGAAAAAAAAATAATTTTGATCATTGTGCATTAAATTGTGAGTATTATATTTGTGAATGAAGAAGAATTACAGTGATTTTTATTTGCTACGACAAACAGCAAGTCTTATGACACTCTTTTCGCGCCCACTTTTTCTAAGTTAGCATGACCTTCTTCCCTTTGTATTATTATTTTTTTTTCTCTCTTCTCGTAAGGAAGGGTCGAGAAAACGCAGTGGGGTGGCATTTCATTTTTTGACACCCGGTGTATTTGATTCCACCCTTGTAATAAACCCCAGGGGTTGCCTTCGTCGGTCCTTCTCCCTACATGTCATATCGACACCTCACACCCCAAAAGAAGGGTAGGTGACTGCTAGGTAATTTGCTTTCTTATTTTCTCTACGAGAGACGAACACTCTTTCCTCTTCTCACACCTCCTTTTAAACCTTCTTTTTTTCCTCTCACTCACTCGATATTTGCCTCATCCTCAATTCTCTCGGTTTGTATTTACGTTCGAGATGTTTTCCTATTTTATTCCTTCTTTCTTTTTATTTTATTCTTTTTTTTTAGCTTCCCATATAGTCTCTCTTTCTCTCTCTCTCTCATTCTATGCGCTTCATTGGAAAATTTTGAGAGAAAGGAGATTTTCTTTATTGACAATGACGATCATAAAATTCAAGATTGCTTTTTGGTTTCTTATATCTGAATTATGATGTCTCTCTCAGAGATACGATATAAAAGTGCTGTGTTCTTTTTTTTTTTTTGTTTGCTCAATTCAATTTTCGTAATTGAATTTATGTTCAGCTGTTGTTTCCTTATAAGTAGAGGGAAAATTTATTTTATACTTACAAATTTATTTGTTAATTAAGATTAATTAAAAAAGCAATGAAAATTTTAAATCAGACAAAAATATAAAAAAAAATCACTTTTGTGGCAAAAAGTCTTTCAAGTATAAAAAAGTACATTCTTGGATAAGGGTTTTTTTTAAAGAAATAGCTATAATGTTTTAAGATCAAATGAAGCCCCGAGTACTACAATGTTTTTGTCTCGTATCTAATCTGATTTAGGCCTGCTCCAGACCAGAACTCCTTGACGCTACTCCTTTGGTTTCACTTGACAATCTCGTTACGTCGGATCGGTGCAAACTTGCGTGAAGACTTGCTAAAACGGATTAGTACTTTTTCTTCACGAGACGAAAAAAAAAACCAACACGGAAAATAAAGAACATATGTTCACAAATGTTCCTCAATTCGAGGATATTTGATTCACAAAAAAAAAAAGTTGAGTGGATTTAAAAATTAATTTTCACATAAATTCTCTTTTTCTTTATCAAAAGACAGATAATGAGAATTTTTTTTTAAATTTACTAAAAACTGAAAAAAATATCTGTAGATGTCATCAAATTTTTTTAAGGTTATGAGCAGAAAATGATTTTTCTCTATTTTTCAAATTTCAATAACTTTGAATAGAATAACGGTAGACTATTCGCAAATGCGTCAAAAGTTGCGTCTTGAGAACCTCTACAAAGTGAAAAAAATATCTAAAGGTGTCATAAAATTTTTTTGAGGTTATGAGCAAGAAACGATTTTTCTCGATTTTTCAAATGTCAATAACTTTGAATAGAATAACGGTAGACTATTCGCAAATGCGTCAAAAGTTGCGTCTTGAGAACCTCTACAAAGTGAAAAAAATATCTAAAGGTGTCGTAAAATTTTTTTGAGGTTATGAGCAGAAAATGATTTTTCTCTATTTTTCAAATGTCAATAACTTTGAATAGAATAACGATAGACTATTTGCAAATGCGTCAAAAGTTGCGTCTTGAGAACCTCTACAAACTGAAAAAAATGTCTAGAGGTGTCATCAAATTTTTTTGAGGTTATGAGCAAAAAACGATTTTTCTCAATTTTTTAATTGTCAATAACTTTGAATAGAATAAAGGTGGAATGTTCACTAATACGTAAAAAGATGCGTCTTGAAAAAGTCTATAAACTGAAAAAAAATATCTATAGGTATCATTAAATTTTTTTGAGGTTAGGAGCATAAAACGATTTTTCTGGATTTTTCAATTGTCTATAACTCTAAGTAGAATAAAGTTGATGTGTTCGCCAATACGTCAAAAGATGCGTCTTGAAAACTTCTACAAACAGAAAAAAATACCTACAGGTATCATAAATTTTTTTTTAGGTTATGAACAAAAAAAACAAAAAATTCAATTAATGAATTAAAAAAAGTGTTTTCCTTTGTAGTAAATCTTCAATCCAGATTGAAAATATAAAAAATTTAAATTACATAATTCTTCTATAAAAAAAAAAATATATCACAGATTGTAAAGTGATAAAAAAAAAAAAAAAAAAAAATTGCGAAATCCGTTGGAGTATCAAGTAAGACGACCAAAAGCGTCGGGTCGTCCGGTAACGCGCGTACCGCGTGTTGCAACCCTTCCACATCCACGGCAACCACCCGACGCGCTTATGGCTCTCTCATCCCTCTATTTGCCCCATTCTACTCTTAAACCCCCTGTACCCCCTCCACACCCACGTTTCTTCAGTAACCCTCGAGGACAAAACTTGCTCTAAGAAGCCTTTAAGAACGTTAAGGTTTTGCTGATGGTGGGGTATAAAAGTATTCGCATGCGCATTTCAAGGAAAAATTCTGACCCGCCCTCGGGAACCGCCTTCGTCACGTTTTCAACCCCCGTGTCATCACCCGCGACACCCCCGAAGACGCCACTAAGATCAGCGGCCTTTTTCAAGAATAGCCCCGGTAACATGTGCTAACCTTCTACGATTAATACCTTCAATTTTCTTTTTTCATTTTTTTATTTCCACCACAAAAAGAAAAACAGCCCTTTTTTCAAAAAAAAAGAAAAAGAAAAAAAAACAATGTGGTACCCATTCGGGTTAATTAAATTCAAGTGAATAAGTGTATTAGTGAAAAATACTTATGGTAAGTGAATAATTGAAATTTTTTTTTTTAATTTTTAATAAAAAAAATTAAATATATATATACATGTATATATTAAATTATATTTTGAATTATTAAATAAATTTTTTAAATTAAATTTTAATTAATAAAAAATCATTTAAAATAAAATAAGAGACGATTAAAAAAAACTTCTTTCACAAATAGGTAACAGATCTGATTTTTCTATTATAACAAAAAAAGAAAATAAATAAAAAATCATTAAAAAATAATAAAATAAATAAAAACAAAAAAAATTCTGTTACAAATAAGTAGGTAACGGAACTAATTAGGAAAATTAAAAATTAAATAAAAAAAATTGTAGGTAACAGAAATAAAAAAAATTTCTGTAACAAATATGTAGGTAACAGGGCTAATTGTCCTATTATAATAAATAAAAAAAAATAAAATCTAAGTAAAAAAATGAAAAAAAAAATTGTAACAGGACTAATTGTAACAAAAAAAAAATCGTATTACAGAAGGTAACAGGTTACAAAAAAAATGTAACAGAATATTAATTACTATTCTAAATATCGCAAAATAAAATATTATAAGATCAAAATTTCCATTTATATATTGAAAATTTATTATTATTATTTTGATTATGTATATCATAATTACATTTAGATATTTAGAATGTATGTTATAGACAGTGTGAGATACACTCGATATGGCTGACGAACTAATCCAACAGTCTAATTGGTCGCCAGCATGTAATTGTCCAGTTTCGATAATTGGACCAATTAATTCGAACGGAAAAGTACGTCAATAATCGACTGCCCATTTGCTCATCGATGTAAAGCGCCGGTGGGTGTCATGTGGAAAAATGGAACAATGAAAAACGCTCATTTCTTTTCAACAAAAATTTCCACCAAAAAAGAAATCATTTTTTTGATTTTTATTTTAATTATATTGTATCATTTATCAGTAATCAATAATTTAAATTTTGATTATCAATTTTGATAATGCGAATTATTATTACTAATTCAATTCCTGATATTTAATACACAAATGAAAAAATAATAAAATATAAAATTTTTTTATTAAATCTCAGTTAAAATTTATAAAAAAAATTAATTTTTATTTTTGCTATCAAATTACAGTTATTTTTTAACTAATTCAAATTTATTTATTATTCTTCAATTTTATTAGCACATTTTTTTATACAAAATAAATTAAAAGTAATAAAGAAATAATTAAAATAAAAAAATAAAATAAATAAATTACGTATATATCCAAAAAAATTCAAAAATGTTTTTAATTATATAACACTTGCATTTTTCTCATAACTGAAACACATTGTCGAATGCATTGATTAAAGCTTTTTTCCGAAAAAAAAAACCCGTTCACGAGTGAAATTCAATTATTCTAAAAAGTGGAAAAATATCATTGAGTTGGTATAATTGGATTTTGACATAATCGAACACTCTTTTTTTGGAAAAATTCTTTTGAAAATTATTTTGTCCAAAAAGGGGATAGAGAATTAAATAATGACATGGGAGTGGTCCTTGTGACATTTTATGTTTTACACGTGTAAAAGCGTTTGTTTCAAATGGATGCCCCCCCCACGCCCTTTTTTTTCACCTATCCAGTTTTTTTTCGCTCTCTTTTATTTTTTTATTGAATCATTCGTGTCAGATAAGATGAGAGAATCAAAAAAAAAAAAATATATATATATACAAGACTAAACAACACAAAGAGGGGGATATCACAAGTACAGAGATATAGAAAAAAAAGAGACAATCAAAATGCATCCGTATAATATAGCGAAAGGGCAGTATTTAGGGTTACATGGTTGAAGAATGAGAGGGGGGGGGAGAGGGGTTCTCCATTGTCAGTTCCATAAGGGCGTAGGATTAAAAAGGGGCTTTTAGTTTCCGGCTGCTGCTATACTGCTTCCAACTGCGAATATATTCCTCATGATCGATAGTCTCGTGCCAACTCTCAAAAGAATAACTCGTCGGTTTTTTTTTATTTCTTTTCATTATTATGTATTAATTATATAAATGAACTTTTTTTTGCAAAATTGTGATTTTTAAAAATGAAACTTAATGATAAAGGAGAAAAAAAAATTGTAGATCTTCATTAAAGCACTTTATTAATAAAAATTAAATTGAAAACAATTTTTTTTTTGTGCAAGTGGTTCTTCTTTTTTTTTCCCCCGTGAAGCTAGAAGTTGTAAAAAGGAAAATGGAATGGAATATTGAAAAACTCGACGATTGTAAGGGTACAAGTATTTATGGTTTTTTTTACATTTTTTTTTTTTTTTAAGGATCTTTACGACTTGCTATAACTTTTTTGTCATATATATAAATGAATGAGTGTAACGTTTTGCTGGATTTGAAAGACGATAACCCGCAAACTGGCTTCCATGTCCACGATAACTACCCTCGGTTACATTCAACGTTTACTCGTCGCCTCTTTTCTCTTTCCACTTCTCACCCCCGATTTTATATATATATATACAACTATAAGCTCACGACCCCTATTCCTTTGCGTTAAACGCATCTACACCAAAAAGGGTCTTGCCGTCGTCTTTGTTTTCCCTTCTTACCAGTGTCGTTTTGCTGCTGCTCGCGAACTGGTCCAAGAATTGAATAAAAACAAAAAAAGATACCAAAAAAAAAAAACCGATTTTTTTAAACTCACGGTATTGAAATTATTTTTTTTTTTTACAAATTTTTCTATTTTATTTACAAATTCCCACCGTATTATTTGTGGTTTTTTTTCATGGGACGCAAATTTAAGAAAAAATTTATAGGTTATGTTTATGATAGTTTGGAAACATAACCTATAATTTAATCTTTTAACTAAAAACTACTATCAATGACATTATAACTATAAATAAAATTAATTCTTATAAAAATAATTATAAAAATAATTTTAAACTTAGAATTGATTTTTTTTAAATTAAAACTATCATAACCATAAACGAGAATTTAATCTTTTAATCAAGGTAAAACTATAATAAACATAAACTACTCCCTCTTAATTTAGAATTAGTTGAGAATAATTAATTTGATAGTAAAAAAAAATTGATTCAAATAGTAATGTTTCTACTAATTTTTTTAGTTTATAAAAATTAATTACTTTTTTATTTTAAAATAACTAATGGTAATTGATGTAATTAGTCAAATTTAACTAATTTTTCAACGAAAAATCTACTTTTTTCTACTAATTAATTTTTTACTAATAATTAGTTTAGTTTATTTTTTTCATACAAATTATTAATTATTAATATTAATTACAAAAAAAAGATTTTATTCCTTTCATGATAATTATTTAAAAAAACACAATTATTTAAATTATATTATTGTATTTAAATAAATAAATTTAAATATATTTTTTCAATAAAATAATTTTAATAAAAATTACATAAATTGAAAATAATAAAAAAATACTTTTTTTCTGTGCAGAAAAAAAAGAAGAAGATGACAACGTGAAAGATGACGAAATCTAAATCCAAAATCCTGATAGTTGAAAGTGCAACAGTGAAAAAAACAGTGTATCAGTGAATAAGAGGAAAAAGGTGGAGGTGGTGAAGGTGGCGGGAGAAAGGAGAGATTTTTCTCCCCACCGCTTGGAAAAACTGCCCCCACCAAACGTGACAGCGTCGAAGTTGGTTTTTAGGTGAAGGGAGGTGAGGCGGCGGGAGGGGGTTGGGGGCAGGGGTCTCGGTGGCTGGGGGCGGCGGCCTCAAAAATACACCGCAACCACACCGCGCGGCTCCACCGCAGAAGCCGCCACCTTCCACCGCCGAACCGAAACGAGACCGCGCGAGTTAAACACCCTTTTCGAGGTGTTCCAGGTGATCTCTTCGCACAGAAGAACTATAATCATCAACTTTTCCGTATAACAACTTCATCAAAAAAAAAAATCATATCAATTTTCTTTTTTCAAAAATTTTATCAAAATTTTCCTCCAGTGAACAAAATAATTAAGTGAAATTTTTCTTTTTTTTAAATCAAGAATCGTGAGTGATTTTTTTTTTTTCAAAGAAAAGAGATAGAAAAAAAAAACTAGTGTCGTTTCTTGGGGTAGGAAAAAAATTCGGAGGGTTCTCTCGTTATTCACTGACGACGACGACGACGATTTCAATAAAAGGAATTTTCTCCGCGACTTGGCACGAGATACGAGAATTTGCAAACTTCGTATTTGGATCTCCGCGGGATAATGAAATAAGGATCAAAGAATATAGCCCCCCTTTTCACTTGAATCGTATCGCAGAGAGAAAACAAATCTAATTTCAAACGGAAATCTATTGGTTGTATTTCTGTGGTTGTGTGTCCCCCCCCAAGAATTTTTTTTTCCCCCTCTCTTTTTCTCAAAAAAAAATTCCAAATATTTCTTCTAAATAATAAATAATTAAATAATAATGAAGTAAATTTCGAGAAATTTTAAAGATTATGTGTGTGATAGAAAAAAGAAAAAAAAAGTGTTTGATGATTTAGAACCGATGACGAATCCATCGCGTGATGCACGTCCCGAGGATCAACCTCTGGGTCTAGACTATACTGATCCAAGATCTAATCATCATCATCATCATCATCAACATCAACATGTACAACAGATGAATAATGTGAATCATCTGAGTGGTCCTAGAATACGAAGAACGCGTGGTTCTTCGAGACGAAGAATGCATTTGGCTGGTGAAGTTCCTCCGCAGAGTTCAACTGGTGGTGGTAATCATATATCCGACTATGTACTCACTGCTGATCTTCTTGCTGAACGTACATTGGATGGATTGCTTGCTGAACATCCTGGGGAACTTGTCAGAACTGGTCAGTACGACTAATTACCAAAAAAAAAAAATTTGTGAAGTAGAATAAAAAAAAAAAAATAAACATAAAGAATCAGTAAAATAATTTTAATTAATTTTGATAAGGAGCTGATTTTTTGCCATGGAATTAGTTAAATTTCACTAATTTTTTGTAAACAAAGTTGTTTTTACTGTTAATTAGTCAAATTTTACTAATTTAGTTGCAAAAAAAAAAAATTGTGAAGTAGAATAACTAAGAAAATACATATATAAAGAACATTTTACAATATTAAAATAATTTTAACTGATTTTGGGAAGGAATTAGTTAAATTTTACTAATTTGTTAGTTAACAAAGTAGTTTTTACTACTAATTAGTTGAATTTTACTTAATTAGTAGCAAAAAAAAATTGAGAAGTAGAATAACTAAGAATATAAATTTGAATTAGTAAAATAATTTGAACTAATTTTGATAAGAAACTGATTTATTTCTTTGGAATTACTAAAATTTTACTAATTTGTAAGTAAACAAACATTGTTTAATTAATTATTAAACTATTAATTAGGTCAATTTTACTAATTCAGTTGCAAAAAAAAATTGTGAAGTAGAATAACTAAGAAAATATACATAAAGAATATTTTACATTAGTAAAATAATTTTAACTAATTTTGGTAAGGAATTAGTTAAATTTTACTAAATGGTTAGTTAACAAAGTAGTTTTTACTATTAATTAGTTGAATTTTACTAATTTAGTTGCAAAAAAAAAATTGAGAACTAGAATAACTGAGAAAATAAATATAAAGAATTAGTAAAATAATTTGAACTGATTTTGATAAGGAACTGATTTATTGCTTTGGAATCAGTAAAATTCTACTAATTTGCTAGTAAACAAACATTGTTTAATTAATTATTAAACTATTAATTAGGTCAATTTTACTAATTCAGTTGCAAAAAAAATTGAGAAGTAGAATAACTAAGAAATTAAATTTGAATTAGTAAAATAATTTGTACTGATTTTCATAAGGAACTGATTTATTGCTTTGGAATTAGTAAAATTCTACTAATTTGCCAGTAATCAAAATTATTTTTACTATTGTAATTAGTTAAATTTTACTAATTCAGTTGCAAAAAAATATTTTGAAGTAGAATAACTAAGAAAATATACATAAAGAACATTTTACATTATTAAAATAATTTTAACTAATTTTGGTAAGGAATTAGTTAAATTTTACTAAATTCTTAATTAACAAAGCAGTTTTTACTATTAATTAGTTGAATTTTACTAATTTAGTTGCAAAAAAAATTGAAAAGTACAATAACTAAGAAAATAAATATAAATTTGAATTAGTAAAATAATTTTGAACTGATTTTGGTAAGGAACTGATTTATTGCTTTGGAATTAGTAAAATTTTACTAATTTGCTAGTAAACAAACTAAACAACTATTAATTAGTTTAATTTTACTAATTCAGTTGCAAAATAAAAATTGTGTAGTAGAATAACAAAAAAAATTTACATAAAGAATTAGTAAACTAATTTTAATTAATTTTGATAAGGAACTGATTTTTTGCCTTGGAATTAGTTAAATTTTACTAATTTGCCAGTAATCAAAATTATTTTTACTATTATAATTAGTTAAATTTTACTAATTCAGTTGCAAAAAAAATTGTGAAGTAGAATAACTGGGAAAATAAATATAAATTTAAATTAGTAAAATAATTTTAACCAATTTTGGAAGAATAACAATTGTTTACTATTATTTAGTTAAATTTTACAAATTTAAAAGCAAACAATCGAAATTAGTTGAATTTTTTACTAATTCGAATTGAAAGAATAGGCATTTATTTTATTTTTATTTATTTATTTAATAAGATGATTTTTTACTATTAGGTAGTTAAATTTGACTAATTAGTTGGGTAAAAATTATTTTTGCTATTAGTAAGTTAAATTTAACTAATTCAATAGCAAAAAGTCCGACACTGAATCAAAATTAGTTGTTAAATTTTTTTACTAATTCCTCTGAAAATAATAAGTATAAATATTTTTTTTATTTTAGAATTTAATAATAATAATTAATGTTTTTTATATTAATAGGTTTCCTTTTAGTACTCTCTAAATCTGAATTAGTAAAAATGTTTTGAATTAGTGACTCACTTTTTGCTCCTGAATTGGTAAAATTTTACTAATTATTAGTAACTTTTACTAATTATTAGTAACTTTCACTAACAATTAGTAAAATCTTAGTAATTCTAAAGCAAAAAATGAGTCACTAATTTAAATTAGTAAACATTTTTACTAATTTAGATTTAAAGAGTACGATTAAAAATTAAAAAATTATTTTTCGTACCAAAAATCTTATTATTAGCTCAAAAAAAAAATGTTTTCTTCTCGTGGATTTAAAATATAATAAATTTTTGAAACAAACAAGTCATGTTAGAAAATTTGCAAAAAAATTAGCTAAACTATTGTAATTTTTATTTCTCTAGCAATAATATTAGATTATTTTTTTGTTTACCTGAAAAAAAAATCAAAATATATTATATATTTATTAAGATATTGAAATAGTTTAAAATAATTTTCTTGGCAAAAAGGTTGTCCCCATCTTGTTTGCACTGTGTTGCCGTCGCATTGGAGATCAAACAAGACACTTCCGGTTGCATTTAAGGTCGTCGCACTTGGTGAAGTTGGTGATGGAACATTGGTTACAGTGCGTGCTGGTAACGACGAGAACTGTTGTGCAGAATTACGCAACTCAACTGCCCTTATGAAGAACCAAGTTGCAAAGTTCAATGACCTCAGGTTCGTCGGACGAAGTGGAAGAGGTAACAATTCAAAAAATTTTTTATCCTGTACTCAAAAAATTATTTTTGGTACAAAAAAAAAAAAAATTTCTTTTAAAACAATCAAATTTTGTTGGAATCAACTATATTGGTTTCAAATTTTTTGTTAAACTAAGTTAATTTTTTTTATTAATAACCAAAAAAAATGGTATTAATACCAAAAAAATTGGTTAAAAAAAACCAATGTAAAAGAGAATTTTGAATATTTTTAAATTGGAACAAGGAGAAATTTTGTTATTGAATCTGTTTTTTCTTTTTTTTTTTTGTTTATTTCAAGAGCCATTTTCTCGTAGACGTTATCACGGCATCTTAAATCATTCAGACGTCGGTACATTAAGGTAGGCGCCCTAGTTGATGGCCTCGTTTCTTCATCGGGATCGTGAGTCAAGCCCTTATTCGTTCTCATTTTTAATTCACTCGGCAAATACCCATTGCTCGATCTCTTTTTTTTCTCTCTCTCTTTCTCTTTCTCATTTTTTGCGCCCCTCTTATTCTCGTTAGATTTGCGTAGGCGGACACTGGGATTTTTAATTCCTGGTCCCTTGATCGTCAATAATTCAGGATTTCTTTACTTGCCCTGCGAAGAGAGAAATAAGCGGTACTGAGAGAGAAAAAGAGAGAGAAAAAAAGAAACTAGGGTCCGAGGGCTTCTAAATAATGCCTCCTAATAATCACAGCCATTACAGACGGTTAATGCCTATATATATTTCCCCTCTCCGATGGTTTTTGCTTGAGGTTCAAGAAAAGAAGAACTCTTAAAGTTGAAGGAAAATAAAGAAAAAGTTTTTCTTTTCGTGCATAAGAGGACGAGAGAGATGCGAGTAACGAGGCGTTTTTTTTTTTTTAATTCTTTTAATTCGACCAAGTTGCATCACCCTTATCCTTATCTTCACTATCGAAAAAATACCCTTGAGCTGAATATCGAGTTCTTGTTTCCCCTTCCCTTTTTCTTCTTCTTTAGTCGAGAATGGGGCATCAGAAGTCACGGGCGTCCCAGTAGTTAACGATGGGGGTAGTCGACTTGTTTATGGCAAATTGGAAAAGGAAATTGCGAGGTTTGCGATCGTTCTCCTTCCATTTCTCTTTGTTAACTTTAATGTTTCTTTGTTAGTCTCATCTCATTTTTATTTCTTTACTTAGTTTGCATGTATTACAATATTCCCATACATGCTGTGACAAAATATTTTTTTTTCCCCATTCCATAATAATCTGTATTTAAAAAATAATTAGATAATAGATATTTCGAGTAAATTTCACAAAAAAAAATTCTTTTTTTGGAAATTTTGAAAAAAAATATAATAGGAAATTTTTGAAATAAAAAGAATTTCACACTACAAAGATAAATTCTAATTGGATATTTCATGAAAGGAATTGGAATCTTTAAGATGAAAATTAGACTAGTAAAAAAAGTTAAGTAGAAAAAAAAATCACTTAGACGAGAATTTCATTTTACAGAAAGTCAGTGTGGAGAAAGGATGAAAGGATGTAGTGTGTCTGGCACTGTATTTTTGCATCTACTTAGCCAGATTAAAGGGATTTATCATGTTCTTTTTTTTTCCTGTTGAATAAAAACAAAACAATCATCCGCTAAATTGTATTTTAATTCCTCTTAGTTTCTTTCTATCTCACAATATCAATGTACCTTTGAAAATAAAAAAACAGAAATTTGCAAAAATGTCTCTTCTATATCTAAGACATGTCTCTAACGACCTTCTTTTTTTCCACCTAAAAAAAAACAAATTTTGAAAAAGAAATAACTGAATCAGTACTATACGGATTCGGGAAAAAATATATAAAAATTTGTTACCGTAGATCATGAAATATATATATATATATTTGAAACTTTGCATAACGGTCAAATTTTGTGAATAATCCCGAACAACTTTTAAGCGAAAGAGAGCCGGATGAGGGTGATATCGAAGGTAGATATATAGTGGATGGTTTTTGGTAGATGGATTGATGGGAGGGTGGGATGGAAACGGTAGAGAGTGGTTGGCTGTAAGCGGCTTTGGTTTCCATGGCAGTAAGCCCTCATTACTGCATTACGAGCAGCCTCTAACTACCACTCGTACGCAACGATCTGCTTCTAGATTGTCAAGAAGAACATATATTAGAAGAGAGAGAGAGAGAGAGAGATACTTGTTTCGATTGCCGATTATTTTTGTATGTGTACATTTTTAATACCTCAATTCCAATATTACAAAAATTGTAATAAAACGTAGGAATTTTTGACAATTTTTTTTTTCAGTATTTTTGTTTTTATATTTATTATCTATTTTGAAAATTTATAAAAACAGTCATATTAAATAAGTAAGGATTACCGGAAAATTTATGAAAATTTTTCCATAAAGGGTGGTAAACTTCTGGAAATTTATATCAATAATTGAGAATTTATGAAAACTTTCCCTAACCGGTTATTCCGGAAGTTTGTTCCCAATTTTCACGAGTCGGTATCAAAACTACACAAGAATTTTCATAAAAAAGTTATATTTTACAAAACATAAAAATTGTTATTTTTTACATTATATTTTTTTAATGTTGTTTTTATTTTTTGTAAATTTTAACTTTTTTGTAAATGAAAAAAATTTTTTTTTAATTTGTTATTTTGTACATTGAATTTTTTTTTTGTTTTTTCTTAACGTTATTTTTTACATAATTTTTTTAGTTATTTTTTACATAATTTTTTTTGTTTTTTTTTACATATAGAAAAAAAAATTTTCGTTATTTTTTGGGGGCGGTTTGAGGTGCCCACAAACTAAATGCATACATTGAAACTGTATATAAGCTGCATTTACAAGTACAAATGAATTTTAACATTAATTCGTATGCAGTTTAAAGTTTGGGTCAGTTGGGGTAAATGGGGACAAAATCCCTATTTTTCACAAGTTACGTAAAGTAATATACTTAAGGAAATTTTTTTCTTATACCTTTCTTAGAAACTATACTGTCCCCATTTACCCCAAATTTAAAAATTTTTTTTAAATCTTACGGTAAATGGGGACAGTCAGTTTTATGCGTTTAAAGCTTATCTAAATTTTTTCTGCTGCATAAAATTAATCCTGGGAATGTAAATAATAACTTAAAAAATAAATCCGCAAATATTACCTTTTAAAGAAAGAAACTTACGTAATTTGTGAAAATAGGGATTTTGTCCCCATTTACCCCAACTGACCCAAACTTTAAACTGCATACGAATTAATGTTAAAATTCATTTTTACTTGTAAATGCAGCTTATATACAGTTTCAATGTATGCATTTAGTTTGTGGGCACCTCAAACCGCCCCCAAAAAATAACGAAAATTTTTTTTTCTATATGTAAAAAAAAACAAAAAAAATTATGTAAAAAATAACTAAAAAAATTATGTAAAAAATAACGTTAAGAAAAAACAAAAAAAAAATTCAATGTACAAAATAACAAATTAAAAAAAAATTTTTTTCATTTACAAAAAAGTTAAAATTTACAAAAAATAAAAACAACATTAAAAAAATATAATGTAAAAAATAACAATTTTTATGTTTTGTAAAATATAACTTTTTTATGAAAATTCTTGTGTAGTTTTGATACCGACTCTTTTCACCAATGCCAGGTAGAATATAATCCATATATATATATTTACGGATAAATAAGTAAATAAATATTTTATTAAATTATTTATTTAACATCGAGAAATTTTTTGTTTTTTAATTAATTTTTGAGTAATTATTTATAATATTTAGATAAGTGAATATAAATAAAATATTATTGAGGAACAGAGAAAAATTAAATTAACCGAAGCAAATAAATTACTGCTTGCTGAAACATGACCATCTACTTCTAAAATTGAAAAATATTATTATAAAATATCTAATATAGAAAAGATTATAAAAATTTTTATTAAAATTAAAATAAATATAGCTTTCTAATAATTTAAATAAACAATTTATTTTTATTTACCCTTAGAATATGCCTCTCCAATTGCAATTAAGTAAAAAAGTAAAAGAATTGTCACAAAAATTGATGAATAGACATTCATGTTTAATTTGTAAATTTCAAATTTTTAATAGAATATTACAACGAAAAATAAACAATTTTCCTCTTTTATATACTCGGAACTTTAATAGCCTTATATTTGAAATATTTTTTGTTATCACAAATTCGTCATTGTTTGTTGGATATAACTGCAAATAAATAGGCCATTTAATCGACAACTTTGTCAATTACAGTCATTATCTATGATAAAGAAGGAATAATAAACAGGTAATTGATAAGGTCTTATGAAACTGGAAACTATTTTTAACAGAAGTAAAAAATAGGTAATATATTATATTATATTATATTATATTATATATTATATATATAATATTATATATTATATTATATTATATTATATTATATTATATTATCGCCAATCGTAAATTCAAATATAACTATATTATGTAAATTATATACCTACAATGTTTAAAAAAGTTTTTTATTCTTCACAAACGATTAATAACTTGTTTTTTATTTTTTTTATCATAGATAAAAAAAACTGTTAATAAATCAAAGATATGATGAAAATGTTACAATGTTTAAGGCTATACTTAAAGTTTGCGGAGTATATATATATATATAAAGAAAAAAAAGCGGATCTTTTTTAAAAAATTTTTCTGAAATTTTTTTTCGATAATTTATTTATATAAATCAAAAATGAAAATTTATTCATCACTACTTGTAACAACACTTTTGGTTATTTTCTGGGTTGCAATTGGCGAGGCTTGTGGTAAATAATTAAAAACAGAATTGTTATTTGTTTTTTTTTTAAACTATTTTAATTATAAGAAGATTTTTTTCATCTCATTAAATTACAAATATTATTTTTCTATTTTAGAACGAAAGAAAAGAGAAATGAGTCCCCAAATTTTGAAACAGTAAAAACATTAAAAATGAAGAATGGCATTTTTACCATAATATTCTTTAAGATTATATATATAGGAAACATTTGTGATTGTCTAAGTGTTATGGATAAATGAAAAAAAATGTAATTACAAAATTTCACTTATATAAAAGTTAAAATAAAATTATTATAAACCGATATAAACTTTGTTTGGAAGGAGAAAAAGTTTCTTTTTTTTTAAATTTGACTAATACGTTTGCCCTAAAAAGGTTAATTTTACTTGGTCAGTGGTTCGAATGACAGGCATTAAGTAGTAGAAACCACGATTAAGTCAGACAATTTTAAGTCTTTGAAATTGTAACCACACCTGTTGCTCCCATTAGTATTTTTTTCCAAATTTTCAAATAAGAAAAAAATAAATATTTTCTCAAAATAAATTTTTTCTTTTCAAAACACACAAAAATTTGACTTGCAAAAATTTTTTTTTTTTTATAAACATAATTTTTCTTCATACAATTGACTTATTTTTAACTGCAACAAAAAATGAATAATTAATTACTAATATTGAAAATAAAATTTTTTTTCTAAATAATTATGTCTGGAGAATTATAATTTTATTCGAAAGGGGGGAAGGGGGAGGAGAAAAAAAAATTGATATAAGTGAGTGACAGAACTGAGTTTTAACTGGCTCTCGGCCTTGAAACATGAGCCAAAAGTTGTTCGTCTTGTTTTCAGTGGAAAATAGTTGAGACGTCAAGGATAAGAGTGAGCGTGTAAAACAGAGAGAAAAAGAGTGAAAGAGAGAGAGAGAGAGAGAAAAGAGAGAGAGAGAGAGAGAAAGCATTGGGTGGGAACACTGGAAAGAGGAATATTATCACCCCGTTGCAGGGGCGTATATCACTCGTCACCCCTTTCGCTCCTGACAGGGATTAGCGTTAACCTCCGACGCTAGGAATCACGGACGTATGGAGCAGGCCAGTTTTCATGTGAGTGTTAGTGCCACTGAAAACGAGGGATGAAAAGAGGGTTTGGGGGGGTGGAGGAGGGAGGTAGCGTAAAACGGCAAACGTATCACATAAATACCGGAGTTACCTGTGTTTTATGACGCTTCCAATGCCAGGGGAGAAAACTACGGAAAGAGCTGCGCGAATCCGAGAGGAATACACAGCTATTGATATCGACAGGTCAGATCCTGACCGATGCCCCCATACAATCCTTGATCCACTCGGTTCGTTCTTTCTTTTTTCTTTTCTTTTTTTACCTCCCCTCCACCACCCCTTTTCTAATTCATTTTCCAATTTTTTTATGATCATAAATTTTTCACTATGATTCCCATTTTTTTTTCAAAAATTCATTAAATCATTGTTTTTATGGATGAAAATCAAATTATATTGCAGAAGTTTTTGATACTTTTTTTTTTAGGTAGATAAAGTGAATATTTAGTTTTTTAATTTTGAGAATCATTATTAGTGGATTAAACTAATTTGGATTTGACATGATGAATAAATTAGTAAATCAGTAGTATAAGTAAATATTTAGTCGGATTTTGTGAATTTTTTTATTTTTTCAGTAGTACAAGTCAATGTGTTGTTCAACTTTTCAATTTTTTTTGGTAATTTTATAAGTAGTGCAAGTAAATAATAGCTTACTGAATTTTTTGTCATTTTATTAGTGGATTAAATTGGTTATAGTCAGACATAATGACTAAATTAGAAAATCAGTAGTAAAGATAAATATTTAGTCAGATTTTTTTACATTTATGCAATTTTTTCAGTAGTACAAGTCAATATATAATTATATAATTTAACTTTTCATTTTTTAGTAATTCTATAAGTAGTACAAGTAAATATTTATTCAGCCTTCTGAATTTTTGGCAATTTTATTAGTGGATTAAATCGGTTATAGTCAGACATAATGACTAAATAAAAACATCAGTAGTAAAAATAAATATTTAGTCAGACTTACTACATTTATGCAATTTTTTCAGTAGTACAAGTCAATATATAATTATATAATTTAACTTTTCATTTTTTTCAGTAATTCTACGAGTAGTACAAGTAAACATTTTATCAGGCTTTTGAATTTTTTGTAACTTTATTAGTGGATTAAATCGGTTATAGTCAGACATAATGACTAAATTAGAAAATCAGTAGTAAAAGTAAATCTTTAATCAGACGGAATATTATGAAATTCTTGTAATTTTTGTATTAGTATTAGAATTCAGTTTCAGTTAGTCACAGTATTTTAAATTTTTTTTTATAAATATAGTACCAGTACTAATAGAAAAAATTTAAACCAAAAATAATTTTTTCTATCAATAGTACAAGTCTGACAAAATGATTAAAAGTAACGTTAATAAAATATTAGTAGTAACAGTAAATTTTAGTCAGACAGAAATTTTTATTCTCACTCTTTCAGTAGTATAAGTCAGGTTTCGTCAGACAAAAAATTGATTTTAATAGAATTTTTTTTCCACAGCACAAATATTATTTAATTATTTAATTATAATATTTGTTTTTGAAGAAAAATTTTGATGAAAGTTTGCCAACTTGTCGATGTTAGTGAAATAATTCTCTCTCTCTCTCTCTCTCTCTCTCTCTTTCTCTCTTTGCTCCTTTAACGAAATTGATTTTGCAGCTTCCAACTTTGCCGGAGCTTATTAATCTCGTTTTTCATTTCGTCGATAGACAGATTGGATGCTTTCGCCAGACACTTCCGGTTCGGTGAAGATTAAGCCGCCTTTATCCTGGCAGTTCTCCAACCGCGCGTCCTTCCGCGACTTTTCTCCTATGTCTTTTCAATCTCTTCTCTCTCTCTCTCTCTCCTTCTTTTTCTCTATATACGATTCAAGTACAACTTTTTGAGCTCGTGTGGAAATGATTTAATAAGTCGTAAAAGGCCTCGGTGTCTACTATTTGAGAAGGGTAGACATATCCCTTTTTTTTCACTTACACCATCCTTGAATATTCACAAAACTTTTGGTTTTTGGTTCAAACAAAATTTATTTATTCATTTTTTTTAATTATAAAATTAAAAAAATCTTCCTTAAATATTTTTATTATTTTATTATTTCTTCAATATTAAAAAAAAAGTAAAATATCTTTAATCTTTTTTCTAAAAAGAATTTTCTCTTTTAAATAAATATTGTAATTTATTTTTCCTTTAATTCATTTTTTTTGTCTCGTAACGTTTATTGAAACGTTATATATTTGCCTTCGAAAACGATCAAATCCAAAGGTAGAGACAGTGCTGCAATTTGATATATATATATATCCATGAACATGGAACGTTGCTTGCAATCTTTTTTTCCAATTAAAAATTAAAAAATCTCCCCTAAGTGAGGAATAAGGGTTGGTGGTGGAGAGGGGTTTAGAAAAAGGCAGATAGAACTCTGAATCGGATGACTGAACTGTCCCGAGCTTTTCTACCGATTAAACATTATTTTTACCTCGTTGAAATCCATTCTTTTTTACATATGTTAATTCCGCTTCTCTCGTTACAGCAAAAAAAAAAAAAAAAATTTAAAAAAAACAACGTTTCGTTATACTGAAAACAAAAAAAAAAGTGTGCGCTAACTTCGTTAAAATCCTTTTATTCCTCAATTTATGTCCAAAGATATATGTATATATATAAACACACATTTAATCCCCGATCAAGATTTTTATCACATTTTGTTCTCAAATTTTTTGTTAAAGAAAAATTGTTGTCTGACTAAAATTTACCTTTACCACTTGGATTGAAATAACAGTAATTTAAATTGATGTGTCTGACTCAAAATTTACCTCTACTACTGATAATAAAGTAACAATTTTAATAGTTTTGTCTTAATATACTACTAATTTTATTTTTTTTTAATAATCAGCCTTTTGAATATTTGGTAACTTTATGAGTAGTACAAGTAAATATTTAATCAGCCTACTGAATTTTTGGTAATATGAATTAAATCGGTTATAGTTAGACATAATGACTAAAATACAAAATCAGTGGTAAAAGTAAATCTTTAGTCAGACGCGTTAGTATGAAATTCTTGTAATTTTTTATATTAGTAGTAGAATTCAGTTTTAGTCAGACATTGTATTTTTAATTTTTTATAAATATAGCACAAGTACTAATAGCAAAAATTTTAAACCAAAAATGATTTTTTTTATCAGTAGTACAAATCTGACAAAATGATTTAAAGTAGCGTTAATAAAATATTAGTAGTAAATGTAAATTTTATTCAGACAGAAATTATTACAGTCTCAGTATTGGTAGTAAAATTAAAACTGTAAAATTATTCTATTAGTAGTAAAAGAAAGTTTTAGTCATACATAATAATTTTTAGAAAAGGTTTTCAATCAGATTTTTTAGTTTCTTTTTTGTAATTTAGTAGTACGAATCAATATTCAGATTACTCCAACAATTATTCAAAAGAAAATTCTGCAAAATGTTTTTAAAAAAAAGTTAATACCTATTTTTCTCCTTTTTGGAAAAACATTCATTTCGTCAATTTTCATTGTAATAGTAAAGTGTATGTTTTTACGAGAGTTAGGTAAATGTCAGATCGACAGGTCATCTAGAAACTGGCACCTAGTTTGAAGTGAAGAATGATGGAAAGAGAGAAAGGGGGTGTGAGAGAAGGGGGTAGTTGAAGCTATATGAAAGATATGAAAACGTCGACGTACGGCCCCCCCAAGTTTACTCAGGGATCATTCAGTGTTAAAAACTCCCTTGTTTGCTGGCAAAAAGCGTATAGCATATAAGGGTAAAACTCGGATCGTTATTTCAGAGTGTTTGTTGTGTTTTAAGATTCTGACGTTTTGACTATACTCAAATCGCTGTTGGATGAAGTCAGGTATACACATTGTGTATCGCGTGTCACGTTACGACAAAAATCAAACTAGAAATATTTTTTTTTTACGATGCTTTAAATTTCACATCAAGATATTTCTTTCCTTTTTTTTGAACTATTAAAATCATTTAATTTATTTTATATCAGATAACTCTTTTTTCAATTTTTTCCCCTTATTTTGAAGGAAAAACAAAAATACTTTTTTTTAAATAAATTTTTATTTTTCCATCAGTAGTAAAAGTAAGTTTTAGGTCAGACAAGATTTTTTTTTGTAATGCAATTTAAAAATTATTTAACAGAAGAATAAAACTGAAAATGTCTTCTAATATAAAAAGTCAAATTTTTATTATAAAAAAAAAGAAATTTTTTCATATGAAATAATTTTTGGGAAAAAAAAATGAAAAAAAAATTGTATGACTTTATTGCCACTTGTGTTTAGTGCATGAATCAGGATACATTTGTGAATTGTAATTTCACGAGACGTAGGTTGTTGTGAATGATATACCTCGAGACAAGCAAGGGTGAATCGTTCTTCCAGCGTGTTACACATAATGCCTCATAAACAGCCCGAAAATGCCTACCGTCATCCCCCAATTCAAGTTGCAAGAGAGTTTTGTCCCCCTCAATCTTGACACCTCGACGGCAATAAACTTCAGCCTCATTAGTACCGTTAAACTTTTTCAAGAATTCATTCATGTCTCCTATAAAAAACAAAATTCTATACACCCTACAAAAAGGTTAAAAAAAAATTTTCATTTATTTATTTCATAATAATATTATTTTTTTATGTTATCGTAAATTGAAAAAAAAACATTTTTTTACTTTTGTTTCAAAAAAATCTTTTTTAGAAAAAAATTAGAAAAAAAAACCTTTACAATATTATAAATAATAATTGTTTTTAAAAATACTGTAATTTTGCAAAATAATTTTTGTTGGAAAATTACATTTTTTTTTGTAAATACAAAGAGAATATTCTCTTGAATTGAGTCCAAAAAAATTTCACTGACAAAATATAAAAGGAAAATATATATATTCGACGTCTCTTGAACCTTTCAGTTTTGTTGAATATTACGGGTGGCGACGGCGGTAAGCCCGTTAAATGTCGTGGTTCACCGTAAAAAGCCAGGACGTTACCACCCTGGTCTCGACGCCATAAAATAAAACTAGTCATTTTGCCCTCATATACATACTATATATATATGTATACTTTGCAGTGGCTCTGAGCCAGAAAAATTGATTGGGGAGAACAGTTACTTAAATCTGCTCAGAGATTTTTCATTGGGAATGAGTTAGAAATTTTTTTTTTTTTAACTTTTAAAAAATAATTTTCAATTTTTCTGCAATAATTAAAAAATATTTCTTTAATTATTTCTATACATTTTTTTTTAATAAAAATTATTATTTTTTTTCATTTTGCAAAAATATGTAAAATATATTTAAAAACAGATTTGTTTCAAATTGAAAAATTATTTAATTAGCGTAAATAAAATATTAGTAGTAAAAGTATGTTTTAGTCAGACAGAAATTGAAAATTACAATTTTTTTACATTAGTAGTAAACGTAAGTTTTAGTCAGACTGAAATTAGTGTCAGTAGTAAACGTAAAGTTTAGTCAGACAAAAGAACTAAACTTTGTGTAAAAAAAATATTAGTAGTAAAAGTAAGTTTTATTCAGACAGAATATTTTAATTTTCCCAATTTCAAGTAGTAAAAGTAAAGATTAGTCTGACATAAAAATGAAAAATATTGTAATTTTTCTATTAGTAGTAGGAGTTATTTTTCAGTCAGACTGTATATAGATAAAATTTTTTTTTCTTTTTACTAAAATTCCTTTTGTTAAGAAGTCAGTTAAAAAAAAAAATTGTCGAGAATAGATTCAAATTCAATTCGCGTGATATGGTAATCTCATTTAAAACAAAGATAAGATTATAGGGGTATATTCTTTTCGGGAAAGAAAGTGGTTTTTCAGAGTGGGTAAAAAATGAGAGGTCGGTGGTTGACTGGATTGAATTTAAATAATGCAAACTCACAAACCGAGAAACCAAAGAGACTGGAGCCCGCATTTTTATCGCTTTTAATTCACTTAATTCGGAAAATATTGGTTCAACATGAAGCGTCAAGTGTTTTATTATTAAATTTCAATGGTTTATTATTTGTTAACTTGTTCCGAAAAATATTGAACTAAATTTTCTCATAAAATAACAACACACACACTATATATATGAATGCAGGAAAAATTAATTAAAATATAAAAAAATATTTCGAAAATCAATTTTTTTAAAAGAAATATAAAAATAAAAAATTGTATATGTATCGTTTTTTTTTGTGTGTATAGGAAAGAGTTTTACGTTGACGATAATGCTGCAAACAACACCACCCCAAATAGCAACACTGTCAAAGGCGATAAAGGTGACAGTTGATGGTCCTCGTGAACCGAGATCCAAAACAAGTGAGTTTTGATTAAAATATTTTTTAAAATCAAATTTTCTATAAATTAAAAAATTAGAAAATTAGAATTTTTTTGAATTTTGTCTTTAATGATTGATGGTAAAAAATATTTATTTTAAAGAGCAAATTTTTAATGTATTAATTTTATAATTCGTCTATTAGTAAAATGAAAGTTTCGAAAAAAAATATTTTTTTCTGAGTAGTAAAAGTAAGTTATAGTCAGACTCTGGGCTGGAATTTATTTTTAAAAACATTACTATCAGTAGTAGAAGTAAATTTTAGTCAGACAGTAATTTTTAAAAACGCCTATTACTTATAGAAATAAAATATAATAAATTTTAAAATTTCGTTCTTTTTTTGAAAATATAAAAATTCGTGTCACGTTTTAGGGCATCAGGCTTTTCATCCCTTCCACTTTGGACCTCGACCATTTCCCTTTGGGCATCCACAAGATCCATTGGGATTCAAGTTAACCGGTAAGTCGATACTCCTTAATCGAAGGCCTTTACCAATCCTACCCCCCCCCCCCCGCTCCCCCCTCTAAATGACAAATTTCGTATCTCCAGTATCACCCTTACAGAGAGTTACGTTCACTTCTTCTTCTTCGTGGCGCGCTTCTACGTCGATAGATAACTAAGTTTGCAACCCAACCTACAACCTTCCACCTAAATTCTCTCTTTCTCTCTCTCTCTCTCTCGTTCTGGCTCTCGCTCTTGGAACCCGACTTCGTGGCTGCCACTGTTGCACAAGAGGGTGTCAAAATTGAGCGGCAACGTGGCACCCGCTCAAAATTGAGTTTTGCCACGTCTAAGTGGAGAGGACTCTGATTAATCCCTACACCAACGTCTTTTCCACATGGAACTTTCAAGACCTCCATGGTTGCTGTACATGGAAAGTTATTCCAAGTTATATAGATAGCAGCTTATGTTTCACTACACTGGGGTCCTTTTTGGTTAGGAGACAAATTTTTTTTTCAAAATTCAACTATTTTTTTGATTATTTTTTTTATTGTAATTTTCACAGTAGTATAAGTAAATATCTTATCAGACTTTGGAATTTTTTTGTAATTTTATTTGTAGATAAAACAAATTTTAAACAGGTAAACTAAATTAGTTCTTACTGAACTACTTTTTAGTAAATTAGTTGTTACTAAATTAGTAAATTAGTTATATTTAGAGTTTTTAGTTTTAGTGTAAAAATAATTTTTATTTCAAATAAATCGTCAAAATTTTCTATACCTGAGTCTTAGTAGTAAAAGTCAATTTTAGTCAGACATAATTAAAATTTTCGTAATTTTATTACAAATAGTAAAAGTAATTTTTATTTCGCATAAATCGTAAAAATTTTCTATCCTCAAGTCTTAGTAGTGAAAGTAAATTTTAGTCAGACATAATTGAAATAAAAAATATTAGTGGTAAAAGTAAGTTTTCTCTAGACGGAAATAACAAAAATTTTCTTCAATTTTAGTGATAATAGTTTAATGTAAGTAGTAAAAAAGTATGTTTTAGTCAGTCAAAAATTGTAAAGTCACATTATTAGTAGTAAAAGTAAATTTTAATAAAAAAAAAAATTAATTAGTGTAAATAAAAAATTAGTAGTAAAAGTAAATTTTAACCAGACAGAAATTATAAATATTGTACTATTTTCCTATTAGTAGTAAACGTGAGATTTAGTCAGACATAAACTTCTTATAATTTTTTAAACAGTAGTAAAAGTAAAATTTAGTCAGACATTTCTGTTTTTTAGTATTAGGAGTAAAACTTACAATTAGTTTTATACAGACATAATGACTAAATCAGATAAATAAAATTAGAAAATCAGTAGTAAAAATAAATATTTAGTCAGACTTTTTAAAGATATTTTGTTTTATTTTTTAAAATTACAGAAAATAATTAGTTCGACTATTCAACTTTTTTTGTAATTTTATTCAGTAATAAGTAGTAGTAAGTTTTAGCTAATAAATTCGTTTAAAAATTATTCTTAATTTTTCCATTATTAGTAGAAGTAGATTTTAGTCAGACATTTGAACAACATTTAACAATTGTTGTAATTATACTGTCAGTAGTAAAATTAAGCTTAAATCGCATCAAATCAGAGAAATTTATTGGATTTTTGTATTAGTAGTAGAATAAGTTTTTGGTCAGACATAACAATTATTGTAAATACAGTATCAGTAAGTCTTAGTCAGACAAATTTAAATAATTGTAATTTTAAAACCAGTAGAAATAAGACAGATTAGGGTTTAAATTCTTCTAATTTTTCCATTAGTAGTAATAGTAAGTTTTGGTCAGACATAATGATTTACAATTTTACTTTATTATCAGTACTACAAGTAATTTTTAGTCAGACCTAAATGAAAATCAGTAGTATTAAGCAATTTTTTTTTATTCAAAACGCTTTTAAACTAAAATATCAAAAAGTAAAAATTTTTTTTTTTGTCGTAAAAATTTTACAATTGAAATTTTTTTCCCCTTTTATTTTTTTAAAAACAGAAAAATAAAAAAAAAATTTCTCCGAAAATTGAATGTGGAATAAATATTTAAAAAAATTTGATTGGTCTAGTTTTGGTGGTGATTTTGAGGTGATGTGCAGGAAGAGTTTGTCTCTGTGTGTGTGTATTTATGAGAGAGTAGGTCGTCTGATTTCTCATTCCCCATTCTAAAAAGGGTTGGGCGAAATAGAGGCCAGAATTGGAAGGGGTAGAAAGCTCCGTTAAGCCGCTTATCATGCCGAAACAATACACTGTTGGTGCACCAGTATCAGTATTCTCCCTCTCACACCCGTATACTATAACGTTGGGCTATAGTCTCATCAAAATTTTGGAGCTTTCAACGAGTTCCAATGGAATTCATACCTCCAGACTAAACTCGGCGTCGAGGTTAATCGCACTCGAAAAACGTTCGGATTTGCCACCAAAAAAAAAAAAGAAAAAAAGAAAAAACAAATAAAAAAACAAAAGACAAAACAAAATAGAAAATTTTTCATCCCCCCTCCCCACCGCCCTTACTCACCCAATATACCTGGTATATGACAGATTTGATTTTACGCGAATGAATCAAAAAATATTTATTGTTCACACACATTCATTGAATTTGATTTTTTTTTTAAATATATATTGTCCGAAAAAAAATCGACAAATTGAAATGTTTTCAAAAAAGTTTTTTTATTACTTTTCCCGTCAATTTATTTAAATAAAAAAATTAATTAACTAAAAATAGTAAATTAGTCAAGATCTTTAATTTTAGTAATAGTAGAAATTAGTAGTAACAGTAAATATTTAGTCCGGCTGACTTTTGTATTTTTTCAGTAGTACAAGTCAATATTCTACTATTTAATTTGTTTTTGTTATTTTATCAGTAGTACATATAAATATTTAGTCAGATTTTTTTTAAATTTCCTTAACTTATCAGTAGTACAAGTAAATATTTATTCCGACTTTAATTTTTATTATACATATTAGTAGAACAAATCAATTTTAGTGAGACATCAAAATTGAACGATTTAAAAAAGTATTAGTTGATTTTTTAATTTTCTTTGCAATTTTATCAGTAGCACAGGTTCAGATTTTTTTAAAACTTTTATTAATTTATCAGTAGTGCAAGTCAATATTTAGTTCGACTGTATAAATTTTCGTAATTAGCAACTAATATTAACGAATTAATAATAATAAATATAATACTAAATTGCAAAAACAAAAATTAAATTAAAAAAATTTGTTTTCCTCAAAAAAAAGAAGAAGGTAAAGAAAAAAATAATTTCGTTTTGTATTGATTAGCATGTGAAAATTGGCGCCACTTTCTCTGAACCCTTTGATGAAACTAAGTTCGCGAATTGTAACACAGATTGCGCCACTGTCCAGTCCAGCGAATGGTCATTTAAATTTACCCCTTGCTTCGAGTTTGCAAAAGTGAAATAAAAGTGAATGTATCGTTAACGTTTATTTTTGTCTCAATATATTTCAAGGGGTGGTTTATTAGATATATCGCACAGCAAAAGGTTGATAAGGATATATATATGAAAAGAGGGAATAGAGACACCAGAGTTGAAGCGTACTATTCCCTGTTGGGGTTGTTAAGGTGTTCATTGAGGTGTAACTAGGGTGATGTTATTAAATTTCGTTTGGCCTCAAGTGTGGGGACAAAAATTTTTTTTATATATATATAATAAGTTTCCTCAAGCGTCAAGAAACTTTTATATTTACTTCAATTGACCACTTACAATGACAATAAATTGAATTATTTGTGCTTTGAATAGTTTTATTATTTATTTATTATTTATTATAATAATTATTTAAATTATTCTTTATTATAATAATTATGTAAATTATTCTTTATTATAATAATTATGTAAATTATTATTTATTATTATTACCATAATAGTAATAATAACAATAATATTTGATTTTTGAATAAGTAGTATTTAGTCAGACAGAAAGTATTAAGATTTTTCTACTCGATTTTCAGTAGTGAAAGTAAGTTTCAGTCAGACATAATAGAAAATATTATTTTATGTTTGCAGTAGAAAAAGTAGATTACAGTCAAACAAAATTTTTTAAAACTCTTGGAATTATTCAGTAGTAAAACTACGTTTTGGTCAGACGTAATATTTACTTTCAGTAGAAAAAGTATATTCCTGTCAGACAAAATTGTTTAATTGGAATTTTCAGGTAGTAAAACTACGTTTTGGTCAGACGTAATATTTTTATATTACTTTCAGTAGAAAAAGTATATTCCTGTCAGACAAAATTCTTTTAATTGGAATTTTCAAGTAGTAAAACTACGTTTTAGTCAGACGTATATGTGGAAAATTTTCTTTTTTTACTCCTGTAGATTCAAATCAAAATTTGTTAAATATTGTATAAATTTTGAAATAAGTAAAAAAAAATTAAAAAATTTCCATTTTTATACATTTAGGTAAACAAAAATTGTGTAACAAGTTTTTTTTCAAGTAGCAGCGTATAATTTGTCCGTTATGAAGAACAGGGGGCCCTGTGGTAAAAGTAAAGAAGAAAGATCAACCAAAGATTGTCCAAGTGCGCAAACATAGTAAAGAGAAAGTAAGAGAGAAAAAGAGAAAAAGAGAGAGAGAGAGAGAAAGAAAGACAGTTTTTGGGGTGGCTTAGTTCGTTTTAAGCAAAAGGGGATGAAAAATCGCAAGAGCCGACGGATTCGAGTTAACAAGAACATCGCGCGTCCCTTTCTCATTCCACTTTTTCATTCACAAGCCCCCGTGTCAATTAACCGCCACCGGAGGCCGGAAAAATCGCGACCCCTGTTTCAATAAGGTGGCCTTTACCTCATTTGAGGGAGATTGTTAGGAGCACTTCGTTTAAAACTGTCTTTTCTCACAGATCTCTTTGCAGTAAATTCGCGTCCTTTTCTTTTTTTTTTATTTTTTACTCGATAGAAGAGAAATCTCCCTCGTCTACTTAAAATTGTCAGATGTAATTGTCGAAAGTTTTTTTTTTTATAGAATC